TTCTTTCTGTAAGACTGGCCTCTTTGCCAGAGCTAAGGAATGCATAGTATAAACAAGTGATAAGGAAGGGGGTTGGACAGACTGTCTAATGCTAATGGAATATAATCAAATCTAAACCCAGACAATTGTGACAGAGAAGATTAAATAAATTTAATATTTAACTGTCTATATATATATAAGGTACCATTGTATGGAAAAGGGTAAACTTAGTTCATGATCTGTCATATCAGAAATTATGGCAGGAATTGCAGACGCTGAGTCTGGACAAAATTTAAGAAACCCTTTGAAATTTTAAATTATGGCGCTATAAAGATAACGCAAAATGACGTCAAAATAGCCACCAGGAAAAGTTAACTCTTTCCTGGATAGGTATGTTTAGTGGGACAAGATTGCCCTCTATAGACTAAATACCTAAATTGCGATCTGGAAGATAACCACACCTCTAGAGCTTCTATTGGGTTATCAACTGATGACGTACAGAGAGTATGGCCCTTTAAAAGTTAAGACAAAGGGAAGATAGATATATACGAGAGAGGGAGGCAGATGCAAGATATGCAAAGGAGAGGAGAGAGGAATTGGAAGTTTGGGGACTCCAACTCGGACAACATCTGAGACTAACACTCTACTCCTAAAACTCTAACACTTAGAATTTACTGACTTTCTAACCAACACCTCCATGCAGAGAGACTACCAATCGGATGAAATATCTACTCAACTGGTAATTATACTGGTTTCATTTAATTAAATTAAATTAATTAAAATGTATTAATAGCATTATATATGACTGGATAAAGCACGGTCAGATTTCCATATTAAGAAATCTTAGTTAACTAAGAATATATAGTTATAAACATTCCATTCTGCAGGTGGAATTAAGAATAATTATATATTGATGTGATATTATCACGTGTTAGCATACCGCTGTTTTTATCCAGGTGTATTGATTTGCTCTAAATTAAGATAGATATCTTTTAGACAAATTAAAAATCTGCTTATATAATGTTAGATTCTCTTATTGGATGGTTTAAGAAAATGAATTTAAACTGGATTAAATGTTATTTTATTTAAAATGACATCAGAATAGATCTTAACTACCTAGGAGATCTAGCCAGCATTGAAAGGGTTATTCTAACTGTCTGCTAAACTTTACGACCTTACGCTGCACTCTGAGGAATTCTGTTCTTCGCTGTGAAAAGTTTCACTTTAAGTCTGTGAAAGATAGTCATAAATAAAGTCTTGACAGAAAATGCTTTTAGCCATTGAAACGTAATACCCATTCCTTTGTATTGCATATCATTTTATACTGAATATTCATTGATTATTGTCATGCATGTTACATAATATTATTTGTTAATTATTGGTTATCATAAATAAAAATCTATTTTTATACATTGTGATATTATTATATGAAATACATTCCACTTAACACGATAAACGTTCTTTGGGATCTGAGAATTGAATTAGTGGGCAATTCTCAACTGTTTACTATTATTATCCCATAAATATCCCCACAATACAAAGAGGTGGAAGGGGGAAAACCTGACAGCCATAAGTAAAATAATACACAAGAAATGCATTAAACTTACTGTGCCTGCCAGGTAGAGGTAAGAAGAATCTTCTGTAGATGAGGTTCTTCTGCTGATACCGGAGAAACTGACGGAAGCAAAGCACAGAGAGATGGACACAGGTTTCTTCAGGAAGGAAGAGATTCTTTATTGGATCACCGATCGGGACTCAGAGGGACTAATGTCACCAAAAATACAGCAAGTTCTGAGCCCTGAACAATAGTGCAGGCTCCCTATATAGGCACATAACTCCTCCCATATTAAGCTCCACCCGCACATTCTCTTGACCAATCATTACAAATAAGAATTAACTTCCTGCTTGACCGCATGGCTTGTCCAGCACAATGGAGGAGGGGAATACTACATCCTGTATTCTTGCACATGCTCCGTACACTACTGATCGTATCTTGCCTCGTGCAACCAACTGATCGATACGTCAGCATATGCACGTACACATGCCACGTGGTAATCTCGGCCTACTAAATTTATTTTTACCGAGATTCCACCACATTCCCCCCTTTGATGCCTCTTGATATTTTACAATTACTTGAGGCATCACTTAACCTTGGTTTGCATACACCACAAGTTACCTTTGAACCAGACCAGACTTATCCTATGATGTGAATCTTCAACACTCGTCTTCCTGCATTGGTTCTCCCTGATCTAGAGCCTTATATTTATAAATTGCCATTATCTGTGCAGCAGCCTTCCTCTCTGCTATATTTTCTATCAGGCTTTGCACAGACCTAACTACTAAGGGTATAAGACACGGCAGGAGTAGACACAACATTAAAATCAGTAGGACTCCACCTACCACTGCCTTAAGCCCTCCAAACCACTCATACCAGCTACCAAACCAACTACTTGGATTGTACCCTTTCCATACCTGAGTAGGCACATGCGCTAGTTTAACCATATGGCTAGTAAGCTCAGCTATTGCTTGCCCTTCGTCATCTATTTGAAGACAGCAATTGCTCAGGTTAAACTTCCCACATACACCTCCCTCTACTGCCAAAAGATAATCCAAGGCTAATCTATTTTGGTAAACTGCTGTCCTCATCCTGGTATTATGCTTCGCTAGAAGATTGAGCGCTTGTGATGTCTCGTTAGTAATGATCTCAACCACCGCCTGTAACCTTATAATGCGGTTGAGCATATAAATAGGGGTTCTATAACCAAAGGTACCATCCTCTGCCCACGTGGCTGGCCCATAATAATCTATAATACGCTGGGGAGGCCATTCATTATCTTCCCAGGCACCTATCTCTATGGGTCCCCTTTTCTTCCTATGATTCACATCATACACTTTAACACCTAAAGTCTCACCTGTTTCAATAGGCAACAAGAAGAAGGATGGTTTTAACATACCCAACACACATGCCCCTTCCCAGTCCTGTGGTAACTCCGAATAGGCCTTCTTACCACAGATCCAGTACAAATTCGCTGGGGCTCTCCAGTTAGATGTGATGGATAGATCAAACCATACGTCCTTTAAATTGGCATATCTTGCAAACGGGTTAGATGGTTCTGAGACATTTGAAGCCGACCACCAAGTTGTATTCTTTGTATCATCATCATAAGCTTTTTGCCCTAGACAAGTTAATTCTCCTACAGAAGTATTATACATCATTCCTTTCCTCGCTATGCAAACATAACCTATGATGGAGGTCTTCAATCTCCACTCAGATTTACCTCTAACACTCATATGATAGTCGGCTTGTGTAGATATTAATTGGTCAACTGCCTCAGAACCGGACATTACCTCCTTTGCTTCCCAAGGCCATTGGTCTCCCATGTTAGTACCTCCACACACATAGCAGTTGGTAACATTAAGACTACCGGCAATACTCTCGGCTAAATCAATGAACAAGTTTTTAGCATTATGGGGGATCTTATTATCTATGCTCATCTCTTCATAAAAGGAATGGTATACTTGATGAGTTTGGGAGGTTACCGTATCAGTCTCTATCCCTATAAACAATATTGTCCCAGGGTCTAAACCCGTCCCATATATTTGAAACCCAAATAAATTACCATATTTATCTAAGAACTTGTCAGGGTTATTTATAAGTATATGGATTGGATTGCATTCCATAGACTTACAATATGGATTAGTAGGCAACTTAGTCACAATCATGTCCTTGTCTGCTGTCTGTCCCCAAGTCGCCCACCCCACACAAGACCAATATGGGCAGAAGTTATAATCTCTATTTGGGCATCTTGGACTTACATATTTATTTTTACTACTGGGACAAATATATTTATCGTTAGACCCATACGTCCTCTCCCATCTAAGATCCCCACATACATTCCACGGCTTTCTACCACTTGATATTGCTTTACACGCATCAAATAGCAGAGCACCTGAAGAATATACGGATTTTAATACCGTCTTATTAATTAGGGTCCCCTGAGAATCTCCATTTCTGAGAGTCAACCAAATTGTGGGTTGATACTCAGGACTGAAGCACTTAGGTTCTCCTACTCCTAAATGACACACACTATATTCTATATTTAAGTATCTACATCTTGATACATCTCCTTTACACTCATATTGCGAATGCCAAATTGGGGTCTGGGATATATGGTTACCTGTTCTTGTAGTCTTAATGCATACCTCACAGCTAGGAGTGTTGGTACCTCTACCTTCCTGAATATAAAAATACACATAAATAAACATTATTAAAAATACATCTTTCGTCGTCATCCTCAGTCTTCGTCCGTGTGAAGGCACCTCGGCTTCCAGGATGTAAG